GGTTCGCGCGCGCGCGCGCGCGCGAAAGAAAGAGATCTTTTACAGGAATTAGAAAATCTCCGACGATGCAGATAGGTGAGCAAATTACCGTCACGGACAAATTTCAGACAGATCTCGGTTATTTAAATTTCTCTGCTTCCCACCGTATTCTTCTTATCTCAGCTCGTTCACTGGAACAGTTGGAACGCGAAATAAAAGGTAGATACAAAACGAATCTTTTTTTCCCCCCTTCAAAACGAATGCCCCGGTAAATTTATACATCACAATTCACCGCGCATCGCGGCCATTAACGCGTCGACGACCGGGGAACATGACGGCCATGGTACATCAACCTTCGTGAGGAAACCGAGCTGCCCGGTCCAAAGTACCAAAAGGAGCCACGCCGTGCTTTTATCGCGAGTAATTCGGGCCACGATCGTACGTATACGGTGTCTAATAAATTCGTGAATGGCCAGCCAGCGACTGAAATGTTCTATACACCCACGCGTAACGCACACGAATTGCCATCGTGCAACGGTCGCTCTCTCTCTCTCTCTCCTTTTTTTCTTTCTATGGGTTTCGTCTATGGTTGTGTGCGCGCGTGCCTCGATTCCCGAGGTTGTTGGCGTTTGGTTGCGCGCTTAGGGTGGGTACCGAGCCGACGAACCGACATGGGGGCACCAAGAGAGAGCGGATATTATCGCCAAACGTTAATTTGGTCGAGGCCCGGCCTACCTTCCAATTTTCGAGCCCTTACACGCCCACTTACGAGATTGTCCGTTAATGCTCCGAAACGTCGGGACGCGTTTTCGACGCCCGCGTTTTACCGCCACGGAGAGCTTCACGGACTTCGCGTACGGCCGACGGGTACATCTCGGACGAGGCTTCTCTTTAGACTTTAAACGCTCTCAGCCTTTGCATACGAGACACACGTGTTGCCAGAGTACCGTATGTGTATACTTGAAAGGGTAAATAGAGTTCAACTCGAGCGGCAAGTCTTAGAGATAAAGGGTAGTGGATCTGCAGGTGTTGGACATTTCTAGACGTATAGAACTTTTTAGAGTTTAGAACTGCAGCTATTAAGACTTTAAATAGCATGCTCTTAAGTTAGACTCTGTTAACTAGAGGTCTAATTACGAGCAGAAGCCGTCTAGACAAAAGGAATTCCAAGTTTTTAAGGTTTTCGTCAAAGATAGCCTGTAATTAGAATTTCAAAGACGACAGGCGAAATACAAGAGGAATACAAGAGGCGTTTTACGAAAAAGGAAGGGTATTCGCGAATTTAACATCGATAACGGTCCCACGAAATGCGTCGTGTATGCGCGTACAACCTGATAACGCTGAGATAGTCTAACGTTAACGGAGCAAGGGCAGAGTCGTATGACGGAGAGCATCGCGATAAAATTAAATGGAACGTCGAAGAAAGGAACGACGCGTCTCCGATTGGACGCTGAGAAAACAGGGAAAACCGTATTTCAGTCTGTGCCTTAACATTCCCGCGTGGACGGGCGCATCACATACGCCCGCGCGCCTAATTTATGTAACACAGAACAAATATACTCGTGGTAGCGTACGGCGCGTACGTAAAGCGTGGTAGAAGCAAAGAAAATAAATACGGGACGGAACAAGTGGAACGTCCGCGAGAAGCAAGAAAATAGTTCGCGCGGCGATTCGTAGACCCAAAATAGGGCGGTGTGAACAGCAGGAAACTTTACTATACACCGTGCAACGTGGAGTAGGAGAGACGCGTGTATTTGGCGTGTGTGAGCGCTGTTGGAAAGAACCGGTTATATAGCAACCGTCCTCCACCTTCTCCACCTTCTTCTTCTTCTTCTTCTTCTACTTCTTCTTCTGCTTCATCCTCCTTTTCTTCTGCCTGTTCTTCTCCTTCTTCCTTACTTTCCTTCCTACTCATTCGCCGACCTTTCGTTCCATCCTCGCCAAGTTTCCAGCGATCTCAGCTACGTAATACAAGCGATTCTATACATACAAACAAGCACGTGCGTGTGTGCGTGCTCGTGTAGAGACTCTGTCTCTCTCTCTCTCTGTATGTACAGTGTACACTTACGTGAGGTCCCGACACCATGGGCGCCTGCCTATCTGACATTGGGTGCCTGCCTACGAGGGCGAGTCCGCGACGTTTCTTTTTTCTTTCTTTACCGACCTGGCTACCGACGGACGGACCCTGGGCAACCGTGTATTCCTTCCGAGGACCCTCCGGGGGCGTTGGAATTTCGCGAGCGTTTCACGGATAGCCTTGTTTCCGATACGCGGAAACCCAGTCAGAATTCTATTGTACTCGACTCGCAACGGCAGGATATCCCGCGGCGAAACAAACACCGCTGAGTGAAACGTGACTGTTAATATGTTTAATCGCGCCGATGATATCCGACGATTAATTTTTTACTCGATGCTTTTTGAGCGGCGTCGAGATCCAGGCGTTGGAAATATAAATGATTCCCTCGACTATTGTTCCAACTTCGTTCGATCTTCTTTACTCGTTGTATTCCTGTATGTATGTATCTATGAATGTTTGCGCCTATTTACTATGCGTATACGATTTCCTATATTTCATTCAGCGATACGAGAGTCGAATTATTAGATATATATCGATGATTAATGTTTTCTGTTACAGATTTCGAATAGACAACACAGACCACATAATAGACGTGAACAAGAACAACGCGGCGTTCGAGTACGATCAAGTGAACATAATATGTCCTGTGTACCAGCCAGGAACGTATGACGAGGACGCGGAGAAGTATATTATTTACAACGTAAGTACTTTCGTATCGAATCGTAATGCTAAGAATCTTGCCCTCGACATTGGTAGAAAGATTGTCACGAGTCCGAGCGTGTACCCCGGTCTCGCCATCCATAGTGGGATCAACAGATAAATCGAGTTACACGTCTGTCGACCCATTATGCGAAATAAAAAATTGTCAAAGGGCGTTCCGTGCTGTTTAGACAGCTGCTGCTACTCGAAACTCGTTCGTTAACTCGCTCATATCGGACCCCCAAGAACGACTTCCGCCTCGTAGCCAACTCTTGACATCGCGTTGCCCTCGAGGGGCTGTTCCAACTCTGTTTCACCCGCTTTTAAAAATATTCATGACAAACTACCGTGTCGCCGTTATTCCCGAATTAGAGAAACTCGTATGTACGAGACCGATAACGATGTTTGTTCTTGAGACGAAAATTACAGAGTTTCATAAATCAAATCGTTGCTAGCATCGTGAAAATCTTTCGTCCCTGTTCTTGCTTTTATCGGAGATTCCAGCGCAGTTTCCAAAAGCTGCAACGCAAACGTCGCCAATCATCGCCGAGATCTAATCATCTTATCCTATCCTTCTCGTATTGTCTCGTTCGAACTCGACGATAGATACTTTCTACCCCCTAATCGTATCTTGAGAGGGCGGGTGGGTTAGGTAGCGAGGAACTAGTGAACGAACGAAAATTAGCTTCTTTTACGGCTAGTCGTTAGGAAGAATGGCAAAGAAATGTCTTTATATTTATCTTTGTAAAGAATCTTTGTTTGTATAGACTCGACAAAACGATAAAGAAAACGTTCAAGGACGTTCGACTCGTACGTAACAAACAACTAACGCGACGAATCGATTGGTACCGGGAACTTATAGCTGCATCGTATGTTTCACAGGTGTCTAAAGAGGAATACGAAACATGTCGGATAACGAATCCAAATCCACGGGTGATAGCAGTTTGCAACAACCCGTATAAGACCATGTACTTCACGATCACCTTCAGGCCGTTCACACCGCAACCTGAAGGCCTAGAGTTCCTGCCAGGCCACGATTACTATTTCATCAGCACTTCGTCCAAGGACGACCTTCATAAACGCATCGGTGGACGATGCACCAGTAACAACATGAAGGTGGTCTTCAAGGTGTGCTGCCGCAACGAGGCTGACACCTCGTCGTCGTCGGCTACATCGCGCAACAATTGTGAGTATCCTTCGTTTTATTGTAAACACCGACACAAATATCACCATTTTCTTGTTAATATCGATTCGTTCGTTTAACCAGAAGAAGATATTTTTTTCTATTCGCATTGACGCGAAATTTTTAAAGACGTTTGATGCACATGCATTAAAGAAACGATCGAATTTGCCAGCGTCTTCACCTTCGGTCCCATTTACGAGCATTCCTTAAATATTCCTATTCCGAAATCGTTTCGACGTGCCAAAACCTTTGTCCTACCGAGAGGTACGCGTTTCGCGTATACGACCGGTATTCTAACGGGGTCCGATTATCATAATCTGAAATTATAGTCGTTGTATACGTCGTCTACGCCGCCTTTTCATTTCGCGTGTAAATCACGTTTAAAAGCTTCACGGTTTCGCTTGAGCGTGCGAGCTCCCTTCGTACACGCTCGTGGATGAAATGATTGGAAGAAGGGCCGTGTCATAAATTCATTATCCCCTAATCAGTTACAAAGGGAAGGACTACTCGTAACGACAGACGGTCTACGCCGATTCCTTCATCTTCCGCTGCGAACACGATCCACCCTCGATCCCCCTCTCTGTTTTCCCGCTCGTACAGACGGCCAGCCCGTGCTCCTCCCCTCTTAAATAATCCCTATCAATTATAATTCTTAGCCGTGCACACCATTTGTTGCGGTTAGAGGACCAACGCTGACCCAGAACACAATAAATTCCACTATTTCATTCTAGCCCGTTCTCTTCTCTCCCTAATTCGTTCCAACCGTCCTCCCAACACCTCCTCCGCCTCCTACCCGCTACCACCGACCCAACACTCGTCGGAGACGATTCATGCGCCGTAATGACTAGCTATTTCGCCGGCCGAGAACTCTGAACTCCCTTTCTCTCTTTCCCTCTTTCACCGTTCGGTGTCTCGGGCATTCAAGATTCCAGCAGGCTCTCCACCGACCTCGAAATCCTTCCGCGGCTTTCTACCGTGCAGTGTTGCGGGATCAGACCGTGAGCACCGACGCTCGTGTACGATGCCCTACGATTACTATCAGCGGCCACGAACCGCGAGAAATGTTAATCTCGCGGAAAATTTCAGGCTGGCTCCTCTGCTTTGCGCCGCGAGCGCTTTGCGCGGCGAAAGACATTTACGCCGGCAATTAGCC